GGGATAATAAGCCTGTTCCTTGTCGGAAGACAGACCTCTTTTATAGACAAACATCTGCTCATCTGCCATGTGATCACTAAGTCATGGCTCACGTCCACCTTTCTACCTCTTCAGTTTTGTTTGGCAGAAAGCAAGTCATCAAGGAGCAGGTGGCCAAAGGAATTGGATCTATGAAGCATTTGTGAATGAAATAAGTTTAAAAGGGGAAATCATCCAGTTTGAGGTTAGCCTCAAACTCCCTGCTCTCTTACCCCATGGAGCCCAGTTTTTCCAAGTGTCTGGTTGGATTCAGAAAACAGAGCTCAGCACCATCCTACTTATTTCCAGCATGCATTATGATAAAGTCACTGGGTGACGGCACCCACCATAGGCTAAGTGTGAGCTGGATCCAGGTCTTCCTGCATCATGTCCTGGAAAGGTCCTTCGCTTATAGCACCAGGGAATTACACTCTTATTTTTGTAAACTGCAAAGGACTTCAGGGTTATTTCTGCATAAGTTCTCAACACTAATGGGCCCCATACCTGAATTAACTCTTATGTTCATTTGAGCCAGGGATCAAACAAAAGAAAAAAGAGAGGGAGAGGTCCAGACAAGAGGAATATGGATTTGCTCTCGGGTAAGTATAGATAGAAATGAGAAAAGGGATCCACTAACTTCTACTGCATTTTTACAAAATATCACTAATTACCTGAGGTATGTGGTATTGCTTGTTGGTGGCACTGGGCTTGAACTCAGGGCCTTGAGCTTGCTAGGCAGGCGTTCTATCACTTGAGCCACTTTGCCCAGCCCTGATGTTGTTTATTCTAACTCACTCTTTTCTTTTGGTGGCGCTGGTGCTGAGAATTGCACTCAGAACCTTACACATGCTAGGCAAGTCGTCTACCACTGAACTACACTCCCACTCCCTCTAATTCACTCTCATTTTGTTCTTAATGTTTCTTATTAACTAAATGCTTACAGCTTCTTCCTTAAATGCCACTAGGGCAAGAATCACGTCTGAACAAAACCATCTTTGTAGCTGTTGTGCACCTGCCAGTATCTTTCATATGGCAGTCCTAGGCTGATTTTATTCACTGGAATCAAGTTGAATTGTGGGCCTTTTTGTCTCTTTTAGTCATAGGCCATGTTGTACAAAGTAACTAATAACAAATGATTCGTGGCAGGAAAACACCTCTTCCATTTTCGTGTGAAGAAGTAGAAAAGTGGCTTTTAGAGCCTGTCTTCTAGGCTGTCTTGAGCAGCCCGAGGTCATCTTATGGCAGGTCCCTACTAGCAGATGACTAAACAAAAGACAATCTGTTTCGACTCAGTTGTGTGACCTTTGGGTGTATTTGTTTTTCGCTAAGTTCCCTGCATATAAGCCAATGAGTTGTGTAACTCTAAAGGGCTTACCTTAAATCTGCCTTCTGAAAATGAACTGAGGGGAAGGTCATTTTCCAAAAAGTCTGTTTTCCCTAGTGATTTTTTCTGGCAGCATTGGTATTTGAACTCAGAGCTTTACACTTAGTAGACAGGCGCTCTAGCACTTGAGCCACTCCACCAGCCCTTCTTTTGTGATGGGTATTTTCGAGATAGGGTCTCTCGAACTTTTTTTCCCTAGGCTGGCTTCGATCTACAATCCTCCTGATCTCTGTCTCCTGAGCAGTTAGGACTACAAGCGTGAGCCACTGGTGCTGGTCAAAATTATTAAAAAAGAAAGATTATAGACCTGTTTAAAACATCTGTCTAGCTCTGGTCGGTTCAAGAAAACAACTGACCCTCTTAGAAAATGATCATATCCAATTCACTCCTAAGAACCAGCAAGCTCAAGACGGTGAGCTCAGTGGAATTGTGGTCCTATATGCGTGTGTTTGTGTGTGTGTGTGTGTGTGTGTGTCACAAGTGCAAATCTCTGAATCTGTCAATTGAGTTTAATAGAAAATGTCCACAGATTGCCTAAAGCCTGGAAACCCAAGTCTTACAATAGTCTAAAGGCAGGTGCAGGTTAAGTGCTGCTGCAGTGGCTGGCCTCTGGTCTGTTATAAATTGATGGGGCCAAACATCGCCTTTCCTTTCAACAAGGAAAGAGTGAAAAAGAAAAGTGGGCATGTCTACAGATGAAAATCTTGAACTATCAGTCGATCACTTTCTGTGGGAGGCAGGTGAAGGAAATTAAGAAGGTAGATTTTGAAGAGAATTCAAAGGCTATTCAAGAAAACCAGACTTGGGACCCAGCTCAAGGGAATAATGCTAACAGACAAGGAAAGACTTCTAACTGAACTGCAAAAACAAAACCCTACGATCATCAGTTTAAAAACTGATGCCTTTAAGGAATCTTAAAGGTTTTACCAGAAATTTGACCAAGTCCTTATTTGACAAGAGATACCTATCATTCTGAAGTCACTGTCTTCTACTCTGTCCCCATTAGGTTGGAGCTATTCCTTGAGCCTGGCACTCAATGCCCACACTGGAACCATCCCAGTGTCCCACTGGCAGCTTTGGTACTGTCACTTGCCCCCCGCCCCCCCACCCCACCCCGTCTCCCTCTGCCTACTAAGCCATTCCTTCTCCTTCAGGTCTCCATTAAAACACCACGTTTATTCCAGGAGCCTTCCCTGATTGTCAACCCCTGGCAGCAAACGACATCAGTCCCCCTTGTTTTAAATGGCCCTAACTCCTTATAATCCTTCGTCATTGCACTCACTCTGGATAAAACACATGACTGAATGTCTGCCTTGACTGCTACAGCAGCTCCCTGGGGGACAGACGTCCTTCCGTCTTCATTACCTCTTAATTACCCAGCACCTTGCACAGAGCCTGGCACCTAGTATGTACTCAGAAAATGTTTGCCACCTGGTTTACTATATCCCTGCTGATGGCAGGGTTAATGTACTATCACTCATGGAAACTATTTGCAACATGGAGATCTTGCAAATTTTTTTTTCTTTTTTTTTTTGGTGATTCTGGGGTTTGAACCCCACTCAGGACCTCCCACTTGCTAAGCAGGCACTCTACCTTTTGAGCCACCCTGCAAACCCTTTTTTTGTGTTGTGTATTTTTGAGAGAAGTTTCTCAAACTACTTGTTCAGGCTGGCCTTGAACCATAATCCTCCTGATCTCTTCCTCCAGAGTAGCTAGGATTGTAGGCATGAGCCACCAGCACTCTGTGACTTGGGAGGTCATGCTTTTCCTGTGCCATTAAAGCCCCATTAAAGGTAACTCAGGTGTTGGTTTGGACTCACATGCAGGTAACATGCTGACAATCACACTAGAATGTTGCATGGAATGTTTTTTTGTTCCAAACTCCTACAAGCTGCTTGCTGGTGGGGAACCTGGCTTTGGATAAGAATGTCTGATCCTACAGCCTGGGCAAATAGCTTGTAAGACCTTATCTCGAAAAAAAATCCCATCACAAAAAAGGGCTGGTGAGTGTTTGAGGAGTGGCTTAAGTGGTAGAGTGCCTGCCTAGCAAGCACAGGCCCTGAGTTCAAACCCCAGCACCACAAAGAAAAAAAAAAGTTATTTAAGCCAGGTGCCAGTGGCTCACACCTGTAATCCTAGTTACTCAGGAGACAGAGATCAGGAGGATGATGGTTCGAAGCCAGCCTGGGCAAATAGTTCGTGCCACCTTATCTCAAAAAAACCCTTTACAAAAATGGGCTAGGAGTGACTCAAGGTGTACGCCCTAAGTCAAGCCCCAGTACCACAAAACAACAACAAAAATAGGGCTGGTGGAGTGGCTAAAGGTGAAGGCCCTCAGTTCCAGGCTTAGTACACACACACACACGCGCACACACACGCGCGCGCACACACGCACGCACACACACGCGCACGCACACGCGCACACACACGCGCGCACGCACACGCGCGCACACACACACGCGCGTGCACACACACGCGCACGCACACGCACGCACACGCGCGCACACACACGCGCACGCACACGCGCGCGCACACACGCGCGCACACACACGCACACACACACACGCGCGCACACACACACGCACACACACTAAAAAAAAAAAGACTGCCTGATCCTGAGATTCCAGGCTGGGCTGCTCTGCTGTCACACATGGGTGTCGTTAAGTGTTCACAGCCATTGCTCTGAGGTCCAGGGCCACTCCCCTCAACACCATCATATGAAGTCACAAAATAAGTTAGTTTTTCTTTCAGAATTAACTACCTAAATTCTTTCTCTACTCAGCACAGCACTTGTTAATTTGCTCATAAGATTATTCATTTTCTAAAAGGTCACGCCATCCACCCTCCTCCCCAAAAAGGAAAGCACACTGTACTCTGTGAAAAAGAGAAGGTAGGGAATAGTCAATGCTGGTCACTTGGGGATTATCACAGAATCCAAGGTTCCAGAAGCTGCGCCCCAGTTTTAGGCATGGTATGGGTGGGGGCTGCATTCTGGGGTGGACGTGCAGTGAACGAGATAGGAAGAACTCACCACCGGATATTGCCATGAAAATCAGTATTAAAAGAGTCTAAGCCACATCATTCCAATAGAACTGTCTAATAATCTTTTTTTTTTTCCTCTTTTGAGTCAGAGTCTCCCTATGTAGTCCAGGCTGGCCTCGAACTCACGATCCTCCTATCTAAGCCTCCCAAATGCCGGGATTAGGGCTGGCAGAGTGGCTCAAGTGATAGAGGGCCTGCCTAGCAAGGGTAAAGCCCTGAGTTCATATCCCAGTGCCACAAATCAAAACAAAACAAAACAAAAACCAAATGCTAGGATTACAGTGTGTACCACCACACCCAGCTTTTCAGAGCTCTCGAACTCTTTTTAAGAAAGGGAACCCTTGGAAATGTTGGTGCTTATACACAGAGCTCACCAGCCTGGTATGTTTAGCAAATGTAAGACTAATACATGTTTCAAAAAAAAAAAAAAAAAAAAAAGAAGAAGAAGAAAGGAAGATTAGCATTTGGCTTTCACTATGCAGTGTTCACCTACTGTTCTGCATCCCTGGATCGTGTTCAATAGAGCCATGGTGAAAACAAAGCTGCCTTGACTTACCAAATCTCTTCAGGAAGCCAAGGATGTGCTGAGTGCTGCTGGGTGACCTGGAGCAAGGGGTCCTGCTGATTCCTTTGTCACCTGAGCTGTGAGACAGAAGATATAGCATCAGTGGCCCAAAGATGGCAATGAGGAATCTCCATTAATGGCCACTGAATGAGGGGTGGGGAGAAATGAGGTATTTTGCTATTCTCACCCATCTTGGTGTTCACCCTGAGTTACAAAGAAAACTATACACTACAGGAAATCTCCACTGGCCTGTATATAGTGGAGAAAAGATGGCATGTTCTTTTGCCAGTTTTTTTCCCCATTAATTTTTTTATTAGGATATATTCGTTGCACAGGGGGGATTCATTGTGACAATTCCAAATCGGCTTATATTGTACATTGGTTAGATCACCTCCTCTGTCTGTCTCCCTCAACCCCTTCCCACCCTACTTCAAGCAATTGCAAGAGGTTTCTTTGTTCTGTTTCACATAAGTATATGAAGTCCATCCACCATATTCCCTCATCTCAATCTCCTTCATTCACCCTCCCACCACACAAGTCCCCTCCTCCTACACACACCGTACCTATTTTACAGTCCTGTCTTTTGTTATTAATATTTAAGTCAAATGTTCAAAGGGGTTTTTCTATGTATCCCTGCTGTGAGTCTACTTTACTTTGGTCCATTCAACCCCTTCCATTGCTCTCCCTTACTCCTTTACCTCCCACCCAGCTGTTTTTCAGCAACTTTCAATGCACATCCTTGTATCCTCTTCCTGCACAGATGTTACATTTTCCAATACTGTTGATGCCTTTTGCCTTCTGCAAGGCTACTCAGATTCATATTAGCTAGATGACATTCAAGGGGAAAAAAATGTTCCTCTGACAAAGAAAGGAGGAACAGGGAGGGGAAGCATCCAGTTTTTGACAAAGTGCCAAAGCTCAGCTCCACTGCTTGCTTACTGGGTGACTTGGTCATTTTACACAACCTCTCTGATCAATATCACCCATCTATCAAAGACATCGTGACAGCTGGTGGCGTGAGTCACCGGCGCCTGGAAAAACTGTGGTCTTCTGGGTAACTCTCCAAACACTCAACGTTGTTTTACGTACTATAGTTATTCCTGTTCTAAATGTCCCCTGTCTTCTGAAGCCTTCGATTAGCTGGCCTTTCTACCCAGACCCAAATAGGATTCCCTTCTGCTTCAGAGCTAAGTAAATACTTTTGACTAGCTAGGTTCTGTGCAGTAGATTTTATTATAATTCTACCCCACAGAGCATGAACAAAACTGTGACAAGGGTCTCCCTCCTGCCCCCACCAACAAGGTCCACGACCTGCGTCCTGGGTGAGAAAACACTGAGTTGACTAACTTCTGTAGTTCAGCCCAGTAATCTTTTGTTCCAAAGTCCTCTCCAATGCAGTGACCATATTAACTCAGCTTGAATTTCTGATTAACATACACTGCTTGAAGGAACTTTAACCCACAGAAACTTGGCATTTGGCTAGCTTCTCTCAGTCCAATCTATGTCACGAGTGCCCATTTCCAGGGTAGTAAAGGACACAACTGTTCGCCTACAGCAAAAGGAGGTGACGCCATGCCCATTGCTTTTATCTCCCCTGTCTACCGAACCTTGCTAAAAAAAGTCTGCAGCCCACAGGTCGGTTTTTGGAGTGAACAGAACCTTCAAACTGAAAAAAAAAAACCACCAAATTTCTAGCTGGCATTTGGAAGCGTTGATTTCTTAGGAAACATGAACATAGTCTCAAGATCAAAGTGACCAAAGTGGAAATCAGGTGTTCGAGCAGGCACATGTTATAGCCATCCATATCTGGGAGAACAAACTGCTCTCTCTGATGGCTCTGGACTCCCCTTCGTTGTCATGTTATAAAACAGGAATCAGACACAGGGAAGAAAGCACAGAAGCTGAGAGTCCTAGTCCCTGCCTGGTATGGGACAAACAGTACCCCTGTCCACAAATGCATAAGCTTAAGTCCTAACTCTCAGTGTCTCAGAAGGTGACTACTTTTGGGGTCTTTAGAGGTGACAGTGGTTAAATGAGGTCATTGGGTTGGTCCTCAATATAATATAGTTGGAGTCTTCATAAGAAAAGGATACAAAGACACAAACCAAGGGACGGCCTTGTGAGGACACAGTGAGAAGATAGCCACCTTCAGGCCATATACAAGAGGCCTCAGGAGAAACCAACCTTGCACACACCTTGATCTTAGACTCCAGCCTTCACAATTGTCAAGGACAAACCTCTGCAGTTGACGGCCCCTGTCTGTGGTATTTCTTTATGGCAGTCCAAGCAAACCAATACCATGACCCCCTCACCCCCGCCCCAACTTTATGTCTCAGGACCAGACATGTCACAAACGACAAGGCAGACTGAATGCACAATGCATGGAGTGTGCGGACCGTGGTAAATGGCAAAGAACATACTCTAGCTTCAAGACCAAACTCAGACACCATTAGACAGTGAGACCACAGAAAATATGGCTATGGCTTCATTATGTTGATGGTTCTTCAGCTGGCAATTCCTGGGCTAGACCATTGCAGTTTGGACATTTGAAAACATCTACCATTAGCCAGACATGGTGATGTACACCAGAGGTGGAAGATGAAAGCAGGAGGACCATGTGTTCAAGACCAGCCTGGACTACACAGTGAGACCCAGCCACAAATAAATAAACAAAACAAAAATCGAGTAGGTTTTTAAAGGCCCTCGATTCATGCTTTCAACAGATATTATTGAACAAGTACAGGCCAGGCCCCACGGCAGGTGCTGGAATACAAGTGGTGGATACGATGGGTGGGTTTCTGCTTTCGTGGTACTTATGGTTGGATGGTGAGTCCAGGTCCTGAGCTAGGCTAGAAATACCAAGTTGAAAAGACAAAGTCACTGCCCTCCAGGAGGGTGCAGGTTAGTGGGACATGGAGTTGAAAGAAGACATTGTAAAATGTTGTGACACTGGGCATAAAACGCAAGGAGCAACAGCAGCTGGGAAGACGATGATCCCATGTCTGTCTGGACCAATCAAGGAAGATTTGAGCCAAGTCCTGAAGGACAAGTAGATGTGCACAATACACAGGGACAAAAGATGAAGAGAGGACATCTTCCAAACAGAAAGAACAACAAGTTCCTGGGTACATGGACACAAAGAGAATGACATTAGGTTGGGCACAGCCAAATGGGGGGCGGGGGAGCAGGACCTGCAGCTGAGCGAGGGAGGAACCAGGAACATTTGGTTGCACTGATCACAATGCAGAGGGGGCTAGAAGTGAAAACGAAAGTGGGAGCCAGGGACGTACACACAGGGATGCTTCATGGTCAAGGTCAAAGATGCAGAACTAGAACAGTCATAGTGTTCAGCCATGGCCATGGGTGACACTGCCCAAGGTCACCGTCACAGAAAGAGAAGCATTATCTTTTCTTTTCTTCCTTCCTTCCTTTCTGTTTTTTACTTAATTTGATTCTTTCTTTTTACCTATCAATGCCTCACGTAACTGCACCTCATTTTCCTCAGTCTATAAATATGGGGATGAGCATGGTGGCTCATGCCTATAATTCCAGCAGTGAGGCAGGAAGACTGTGAGTTCAAGGCTAGCTTGAGCTACATAGTGAGACTGTCTCAAAAAATAAAAATAAAATGTGGGTAATAATAGCACTTCCCTTATAGGGTTGATCCTTTCAGTTAACACTCTAAGTATTTAAGGGCAATAAATATTAACTAAAGGAGAAATAAACCTGGAGGAACAAATGGGAAATTAATGACTGTGCAATTAGTAACAGTGCTCCCTCAGTGAATACGAGCCAGATTAAAACAACGATCACAGCCACGAGGGTAAAAACCTATGTAATTATGGGGCTATGGAACTGGCTTTGCTTTCCTTGGATGTCTCTGGACCTCCCACACAGCCTCCTAGGAAGGGCATGAACACTGTTAGGTTGAAGATTCAAGGGGACTGGACTGGAGGTGTGGTTCAAGCTCTTGTGCTCTTGCTTGGCAAGAGCAAGGCCCTGAGTTCAAACCCCAGTACCACACCATCAAAAAAAGATGCAAGGGGGCTGTGAGGAGAGACTGGCTGCAGAGGACAACAAGAAAGCTTTTTAGAGACACGGGCAATTCTGAATCTTGATTGAGGCAGTGGTTCGATGCTGTATTACGCTAAAGTCATCACTAAAATGATGACTTTAAAATGTGTGGAATTTATTTGTAAGTGACAACCTGATAAAAAGACTGAAGGGAGAAAGATGGAGGAAAAGGGGATTCAAGGAGAAACATATTCATATTCCAAAGAGAACTTGTCTGAAAACTTTCAATTGCCACTCAGGCCCTGGGTTTGATCCCCAGTACCACAAAAACTAAAACTAAACAAAACAAAAACACTTTCAATTTCCAAATGCATCCTATCTTTGAATGGATGAAATCAGCTAGGAATGGAAAGAGCATCCGTTTGCAAGAAAGATTTTTAAGTCTGTCTTTCCCTTCATTATCCTATATCCAAAGAACAGCCCCTTTCCACCCCAGCTTTCCTAAACGAGCTGCCCTCTTGTGGTTTGGATACACAGTTCCTGACACAGAGTGGGCAGCAACTAAGCTGTGTGGACATGAAGCCCAGCCTACCCACAGACACTGTGGAGGGTTCTGAGAGTGGCATACCCACCTGCACCAGGGTACACACTGTCTTGTGACGGTTTTAAGTAACTGAGAAAACAGGGTAGTCACAAAATAATGTGGTTTGAGGTTGACAGATTCAAGAAACGATTTCATCTCTATGTAAATTGCTGCTTAATTTGCATGCACTTCCGTACTACTTTCACTTTTGCCATATGAAATTAGCATATCAGAAAGGATCACAGGTCACACACAAGGTCAGTGGCAAGAAAGAGGAACTGCAAGTTCTAATTTTGCACCTATGAACATTACTCTGTATTCCCAAGGTCTCTTCACACAGAGAAAGAAACACCAGAAACACCACCCAAATAGTACCCAAACTGTCTTTTTTTTAAATTAACATTGGTGTACAGAATCCTGATGTCATGAAATACTTAGTATTTGTTTAAAAAGGAAAGAAAGGGTGGCTGTGATAGAACA